AATAAATAAATAGAATCTTTAAAAAAAAAAAAAAAGAAAACAATAAATATCAAAAAAGGTATTACCATCATGAAGAAATATTAAAAAATCACAACTACTAAGCAGATTGAAAGAGTAATAAAAAAAACTCCCAACAAAGAAAAGTCCTGTGCCCAAAAAGACACTTAATGAGAAAGGACTTCAAATCTCCTCAAACATGTCCAAAGAGAAAACATAAGAGAAATTAGCAAAACACTCTCTCTGGGGTACCAGCATTACCAGGTTATCCAAGCCAGGGGAACACACTACAAGTAAAAAAGGCTACAAACCACTACCTGTGAGGAATATTCATGGAAAGTCCACAATTAAACAGAGCAAACTCAATCTAAAGCACATTTTACCATTTTACAATGTATGTTATGTGGGAAATTCTCCTGGAATTAAGGGTGTTCCAACATATAGAAAACTATAAATTGAGGACTCCACATTAATAGAATGATGATCAAAAATGACATGACATGATCATGGGCACCTGGGTGGCTCAGTCGGTTAAGCGTCTGCCTTCGGCTCGGGTCCTGATCCCAGGGTCCTGGAATTGAGCCCCTCATCAGGCTCCTTGCTCAGCGGGAAGCCTGCCTCTCCCTCTCCCACTCCCCCTGCTTGTATTCCCTCTCTCGCTGTCTCTGTCAAATAAATAAAATCTTAAAAAAAAAAAAAAAAAGACATGATATTGAGACAGAACACAAATATGAGCATATTGGACAACATGTTATAAATAAAAACACTAAACAGAGACAGAAGGAAACCCCCTCAACCTAATGAAGGCCATATGCATATGAAAAGCTGAAACCTAACATACTGTATAGTAAAAGACTGCAAGCTTCTCAAAGATCAAAAACACTGTAATGAAGTAACTGCACCACTGCCTTTGAACAAAGTACTGGATATTCTAGTCAGAAGAATTAGGCAACAAAAAATGCATAAAAGGAATCCACATTGAAAAAGAAATGGAAAAAATATCTCTGTTCACAGATGACATGATCTATTGAAAACCCTAGAGAATCCTAATTTTAATGTTTTTGCTGTTTTTCTTTTTTGGTCATTGTAAACATTGTTTATTTTTGCTACTTTTTTCTAATAGACTTTCCATTTTCCTTTTTTTTTAGGCTATACATGGTTAAGAAAAAAGTTGGAATAAACAATCTAACTTCCCACCACAAGGTTCTAGAAAAGGAAGAAACTTAGCTGAAATTTAGTAGAGGAAGGAAGTAACAAAGAAAAATCTGATATAAATAAAATAGCTACCAGAATAAACAATAAAAGAACATTGAAAGTAATACCCATTTTAGCCAAAATAATAAACACAGCTATCAATGCTTTAACTACATAAACAATTACATACTAAAAAAATCAGATAATTTAGAAAAAAAAAAAAACCCAGTTAATAACCTAAGAATACACAGGTTATTAAGACTGAATTAAGAAGCTCGAACCAAAGAAATGGGAAATCTTAGACCAATAACAAGAATGAAAGTTGAGGGGTGCCTGGGTGGCTCAGTCGTTAAGCGTCTGCCTTCGGCTCAGGTCATGATCCCAGGGTCCTGGGATCGAGCCCCGCATCGGGCTCTCTGCTTGGCGGGAAGCCTGCTTCTCCCTCTCCCACTCCCCCTGCTTGTGTTCTCTCTCTCACTGTGTCTCTCTCTGTCAAATAAATAAATATCTTTAAAAAAAAAAAAAAAAGAATGAAAGTTGAATTTTTTTTTTTTAATTAAGATTTTTTATTTATTTATTTGACACAGACACAGCGAGACAGGGAACCACAAGCAGGGGAAGTGGGAGAGGGAGAAGCAGGCTTCCCGCTGAGC